GAGCATTGCTGCTCACTCAGGAAGCATTTTACTGCACAGGAACTGATGTGGTGGACTCTTCTCCCAGCCCCCAAACTATCCGACTGAAAAGGCTGAAATTCTGTTACAGAATAAGCAGGGAAACTGTGCCCTGCACCATTAGGGAACAGTATATGTCTAACACCAGTTACTTCCTGTAGTCAGGGTGCTTGAACTGGGAGGCAAGGAAGAAAGACAGGAGGCATCTCTTTCTCTGTTACCCCACAGACTCACAGGAAGAAACTTTGCTGCCCTTGCCCATGGTCTCAGATTTAGTGGTTTGGAGCACCTACTTCTTCCAGAGACTACAGTAATTCTTCTGAGTTGAAAATAAACTATCTGTTGGCCACTTGGGCTCCTCCAGACTCTGGATCAATATGCAGAGAAGGAGTCCCTACATGAGCCCATGCAACAGGTCCTGGTCATCACAAGAGATTCAGTTTCTGCCTCACAACAGGGGCAGGAGGACTATGTAAGAATGCAGTATGCAACGGGGGACCCCCTGGTACTTCCTTCCCCACACTCTGACCAATGGCAAGCAGGGCAACCCAGTAAAGACAAACCACACAGATCTCAGATCCTTCAAGAAAGAAGGTTTGGGTCAGCCCACCAGGGGAAGAAGTGCATCACCCGAGCTGTCCTGAGAGGAAAGAGGACATAGAATGAATGGAGAATGACTTGCAAGTTAGATCACCAGTGAGCCATGGAGGTGAGACTGTAGCCATGTGTCCCATCAGTTGCTTCTTTTGTACCCACTTCCTCCCATAAAGAATGTCTGCAGTGACTGGTGACAGGATTATTCTACCAGTGACATGAAATGAGGTGTGTATGGTGCTAGTAACATAGTAGGGACATACAAATATTAATTTCCCTTAGGTAGGAAAGAGAAGATTGAGGAGGAAAGTCTATAAATCCCTTGGACTGAGGCCATATCTCCAAATAGGTGTCCACACCAAAAGGAAGATAGAAAAACCTTCCTCTAGTTCTCAAAGACTGATTGTGGTGTGATGAGCCTTCCTATCACTTATTTGGTCTGTGCCCTGGGTTCAAATATACCTAATCTCTCTGGGCCATACTTTCTTTATCACTGAAGTAATAATAGTAATATCTGTCTTGGTGGATTGAGTGAGTAGTTCCCCGTACAGGGGATGGCACTTAGTGAATAATGCTGATTTCTGAGGTGCTTGTCCTTCCTGCCTCCTGGGGATGGCCGCTGGCCTGGAGCTGTCCAAAGTGCTGAAGACATCCTTTCCCCTCCCTCCTCTCCTTTCCCTCCTTCCTTTCTGCATGTGGCTCCCTGGAGCCCTGGGGTCTGAACAGATCTAATTTTCCAAGTGGCTTCCCCAGGCTCCTAAGGGGGTCATGGAGGGAATGAGCCACATATGAGACAATCCCCAGGCGGGAGTCTCAGGAAGCTGACAGCAGCAAGAGTGGTAAACGAGGAGGCTGTGCTGAGAATAAGAACCCACCCCCTCAGGCTGGAAGCTACTCAGAGAGTGTGACCTGCTGTAGGAAGTTTAGACTCTGCAAAGAAGCAGGAGTCAGCTCTAAGAGCTCATCATGGCAGGTGAGTGCTTGCCTGAAGAAAGAGACAAAGGACTACGTTGGGTCAGGAGGGTGAAATTTGCCTGCAGGGGCTGCAGGGCCCTTAACAAAAGCCCTCCATTCCCCTCCTGTGGGTTCCAATCACCATCCCATTTTAGTTATTTGTCTGTTAATGTAGCTATAGCCATATTCATGTTTGGGTTATGGTACTAAGGAGGTGACTAACCCCATGAACTTGGCCCTATAAGCCAAGAAACTGGTGGCTAATTCTCGGGGACCATCTCCCAGAGTCTAAACATACAAGTGGCATTCCCAGCAGGTGGCACATTGACCTGCTCTGAGCAGAGCTGGAGACACTGGAAGCTCTCACATGCTTGAAGAAAGATTAGGAGAGGAAACTTGCCCCTTTTCACAGGGAAAAGCCACCTGTTAATCTTAATTTTTGTTGACATGCAGAACAACAGAACTGAAGGATCTTTGGAGACAAACATCTGAATATAGCTCTCCCTGTTTAATCGGGAAAATTGGGGCACAGAAGGGAGTGTGAGCTCTGTGCCACAGATCAGGGACAGAGTTGGGATAAAAACCGGCTCCTGCCTTGCCCTAAAGCAGGTCTGCTATGGACTTGTGGCCTCTGTGAGTGCTTGCAGAGAGCACTGGCTGCAGAGTTCTTGTGGTCACTTAGTGTTGCCAGCTGGATCTCAAGGCAGCGGAGCCTACTGCTGTTTCACATGGCTATGTGAAACTCCTTTCCCTTATGTCCACAACCTCCTCACCTGGACACAGAAAAATTGGTTGAGATGTTCATTTTTTAGCCCTGATGTGCTAGATATTAAGAAAAAGAAAGGATGTTTGTCTTTGGGTGGGAGATTGGAAACCAAGTTCCAGTTCTTAACTTTGGTGAGACCTTAGATAAATTGTTAGCCTACAGTTCCCTCCTTTGAATGTGGAGGTAAGAAGTATTTTCCTGGAGACTCTGGGAGTATGAGGCGAAGAAGTGGATCACAGGTGCCTTGACAAGACAGGTTGAGAGGAGAGATGACTGTCATTAGCAACAGCACGTAAGTGTGCTCCCCTCTGGAAATGATCGGCTCTCTGTGAGTCTAGATCTTATCCAGCTGCCCCAAAGGATTCATCTCAGGCGTGGGATGGACCTCCTCCTTGCTGTAAAAATACCAATGAGAGCTTCACAGCAGAAGAGCAGGAAGGGCCTAGAGGCTGGCAGAAAAGCAGCGCTCCCCCATGTCATGGAGCCTTGAGCTGGGAGAGCTACAGCATTGCAGGCCGCAGGCAAAGGTCTGGCCCGCCCTGTAAAGGGCTACTTTTCTAGATTGGTTGAGGCCTAGTGTGGAGCTGAGACTCAGGTCTCCCCCTCCTTGGCCAGTCTTTAAATTACAATCCACTTGCCTAGCCTCAGAAATCTAAAGGGTGATGATGATGATATCTATTCCATTTAGTAAATGTATCCTTAACCTAATATCAGACACCATACACACTGTCATTTTTATAACTTTACTGGGTAGCTATTCTCATCTCCCTCAGAATCCTACCCAAGGGCTAATAAAAAAGGAAATCGGGGTTTATTCTTTTATGTGATTCCTTGCCTCAGCATATAGCATAATGTCTAAGGAGCTGCTCTACATCCACTATCATTCCTGGCACCCCCTCACTGTCCTGAGCTACACTCCTAGTGCAGGGCAGGTGGAAGCTCTGCCTCCTCTGGATGTGGGCCTCCTTTACCCCAAAACAGACCCCTAGTCCTAGCTACTGCCTGTGTTCACAGTGAACTCCTCTCTTGGCTAGGACCTGCCTCCCTACTAGTATGGCAGTTTCCTAAGGGTGAGATTGGATCTTATTCTTTCCCCCACCCAAGTGGATAGACTGCCAGCTGCATAAGTGGTGTGGGAAGATGCTGAGTCCTTTGGTGGAGAACAGCAATAACAGGGAAGCAGACAGAAGCCAGGGAGGACCTGCAAGACCTCAGGGTGATCATCAAGGTTCTGGAAGTGACAAAGTGAGGAATACCATGGTCCAAATGTCCTGGTCCAGGAGGTCACTTGTGGGGTGAGGGATGAGCTGAGCAGACTTGGGTCAAATCCTATTTTTCTAATAACTCTGTATCAGTTTCCCTAGGTTTCCTTGTTTGCATAGTATGGATAGAACAAGACTGGGGAGATCAGAGATGGGACATGAATGTGCATTATATGCCCTTCATCCACAGCTCTCATGAGCACATGCAATAAGTGAGCTGCCAGAATGTGCAGCTGCTTTTAAACTGTGAGTGTAAAATGTTAGAGCTCCAACCAGGTGGAGTCCAATAGAATCAGAGCCACGGCATGGTGCTAGGCTTGGAGGGAAGAGGCAGGAGAGGCTCAGTGGAAACCAAGAGAACTTGTCTGACTTAGAGAGCAATAAGGGAAGAAGCAACAGTCATAGGTTGAAAGAAGTAGGCTTTAAAAAAGGAAAGAAAAGACAGACAAAGAAAGGAAGAGAGAGAGAAAGAAAGGGAAGAAGAAAGGAAGGAAGGAAGGAAAAGAAAGAAAGAAAGAAAGAAAGAAAGAAAGAAAGAAAGAAAGAAAAGAAGGAAGGAAGGAAGGAAGAAAGAAAGAAAGAAAGAAAGAAAGAAAG